CGCTCACTATGACAAGGTTAGCTTACTTCCACTGCCCTAATTTTTGTTGTTTGCTAAAGCATAACAATTGTTGTAAGTTTATTTTAATGATACCTAAATAAAATATTATAATCTCAGTGGGAAGACTTTGCCCAATTTATGTAAAAAAACCAAACGAAGTAAAATCCAATTTTATATGCTAGTTGTTGTGCTTGGTTAATCTTTAAAAAATATATCTATTTAGTCAATAGATGATTGGTTTTTCTAATTTCTACTTGATCTGACAACTGTTGTCACTATGAATTCTTTTCTTTTTCTTGCTAGACTCTTATATTACAAGTGAGAATGGATTTTAAACTTTTAAGACATAACATAGGTTTTTAAATAGGTTTGAAGTGTTATATATGAATTTGAAGGCATAGATTTTTAAACCCATTTAAAAGCCTACATTTTAAGTAGACATTTAAACAGGCTTCAGGCCTTATCAGGTCCTTTAAAGGCTCAGGTTCAGACCTAGTAAAAGCCTATATGCAAGTTTAGTCCCAAGCTCATACTTCATATATCTATTATAGGCCCAGGCCTACTTAGCTAAAGCCTAGCCAACCTAGCCTATTTCCATCTCTACCCAAAAAAATAAATAGCAAAAAGTTAAAAATGACCCTTCTTTTGATTACTAGTAAATAAATAATGATAGGTGATTATGATTTTCATATTAATTATTTTTGGAAACTATAATTTAAAAAAACTAAAATTTTTCATAAATTTTCATAAATAATATATGATGGTAAACAAAAATCTAATGGCAGTATAAAACCACTATAAATTTATGCTTTTTAATCTCTCTTTTTTTTTTAAATTATTGTGGATCCATATTCAAGTATACCATTAAACATTATATTAAGATCAATATTATAATATTATTTATTAATTTTTTCAGCTTCATGAAGTAAATTTGAATTTCATTATGGGGCATTTCTACGGTTTATTTTAGTTTTTCTGTTTTTATCGGAATAGATATGTGGATTCCAAGGCCGATCTGTTGTGAAAATTATAATTTAAAAAAATAAAATTTTTCATAAATTTTCATAATTAATATATGATGGTAAACAAAAATCTAATGGCAGTATAAAACCACTATAAATTTATACTTTTTAACCTCTCTCTCTTTTTTTCATTATTGTGGATCCATATTCAAGTATACTATTAAAAATTATATTAAAATAAATATTATAATATTATTTATTAATTTTTTCAGCTTCATGAAGTAAATTTGAATTTCATTATGGGGCATTTCCATGGTTTATTTTAGTTTTTCTGTTTTTATCGGAATAGATATGTGGATTCCAAGGCCGATCTGCTGCTCATTTAGGAAGCTTGGCCCAATTATGTGAATGGCCCAATCCAATATACTTGGTGCTCATTAGAACTCCTATTACCAATAAATGCTAGGTCCAGCAAAAAAAGTTAATCTCCCACAGAGTGATGAGTCAAAGTTTAAATTCTAACCCTAATGAGAGAGGTGTTTATATTTAGTACCCAATAGCGCTTCAAACAAAATTACTTCTTATTGGATCATATGCCTAGTAAAAAAAAAAAGACTAATTCTTTCCACCTCTATCAAAAAAAAACTCTTGATATAGCTGGAAAAATTTGTTTTCTTTTTTAAGACTATATATATATATCAGGTTTGGTAGGATTTTCCCATTGTGAATTCTACATGAGAAGCATTATGATACTCAATACATAAAAAATATAGTAATTAGACTAGGTGAAAGCTGGCCCAAAAAAAAATATGGATTAACCCTTGGTTTGGTCAAAGGAGGGAAATGGAGGGGTGACAAAATTTTAATGAGTTTGATTTAGAAAGATCAAAGAGTAAAAAAATTAATTAAAAATTTTTAATTCAACTTCTTTAGTTTTTAAAATCAAACTTATTAGAATTTTCCTTCTCCTTTCCTCTCTTTCATTTCACTCATGCCATGCAGACCCTAACTAAGTGAAAGAAAATCAATTTCTTTTTAATAAAAGGTTGAGAGACTCAAACATTATTCAAAAAAATAATCATATTAGATGGTTCACCTCTCTAATTATATATATATATATATATATATATATTACTTGCATCTCATGTAGTACTACTAAATATTAAATAATCACTTCCTCTTAGCTTGTTCTTATTATGAAGACCTCCAATATGTTTTATACAAAGCATTACTTTTTTGAACCTAATATCCCTATCTAAAAACTATAATTCTTCTTAGCCAATTAATGACTTTTATTGAGGGCAATTTTAATACTCTATAAGAAATAACTAATTTGAACTAATTTTACAATAAATATCTCTGTCTTTTCAATATTGACATACAAGTCATTGTCTATTTCCTTATAAAGTTATTCAAGGGATTCATATTTGTTTCCCTTTAACTCAGGATTTTTAAAAGACGCCAATCACTAAAATGTGGGGAAAAAGCTTTGGTCTCTTGTCCCTGTCAGTAGGTAATATGTTTCATTTTAAATAATTACCCATCACCCAACCAATGTGGTGGTGCTTTCAAGTTTAATTATATCAACGATATATTTTTTCTGGGTAAGGAAAGAGCAATTTCACACACAAGCACACACACACATTCATGCTTGGACTAAAAGCAAAAGGTGATTCGATTTTTATCATTCAAGGACTTAATTAATTGTGTTATGGAAAAATATCGCCAGTTTCTGCAACTTGTAATGTGAGTCCGAATGAACTCCTCATTCACTTAGTTTCTTGTGTTGTCATGATTGTTCCCTTAGAGAGAGAGAGAGAGAGATATATATATATATATATATATATCACTTATATAACAATTCTTGGATGATAAATAAACAAAATGCATCTAACCCTAAAACTAATGCGCATGCAAATATATATATATATATATATATATAAAAGCTACCAGTCAAAATCAAATAGGATAACTTGAGATTATGAAACACATACACAAAAAGACAAATAGAACATGTCAGAATTAACTGTCTGATCATTCATGTTGATTTCTAAAACTCAATCGATTCAAGTTGAAATTTCATCATTTTTATTACTCATTATCTCTTCTGTCTTTACGTCTTTTTTCTTTTTCTTTTTCTTCTTGTTCAAATTTAACATCCATCCATGCATACATAACATGAGTTTAAATCTTGCTATTAATATATACTCTCTCTGGTTCAAAATATAAGCTTTTCCTATTTGTTAGGTTATTGTTTTCAGCCACCTAAAATATAATTTTAATTTAGTTAAGTTATATTATTAGCAAAAAAAATTTTCATAATAAAAGAGTTTAGATATCAATGTAAAAATTTAAATTATACCAAATATAGGATGTTAAAGAGATAGAGTGGAGCAATTAAGATTAAGGGAGAACCATACATAAAGGCTAAATTCACAAATTTTTGTGTTCATAATAATCTCATTGTTTTCACTTGTAAATTTATTTTTTAAAGCGGCAAACAATATTACCAATATTTTTAGTCATATATTTGTATTACGTAAATGGTAAATGCTCATAATTTGACCAGTAAATTTACGCTATATAAATGATCAATGTAAAGACTTTCTGACTAATTAATTTATGTTTGGTCCTTCAGTATAATAATTATGATCTCCTCAAAAATAATGCAGTCATTTTTTAATAAATATAAGACATTGTGAATCAAGAAAAATGTATCACACTTTTCCTTGACAAAGAATCCTATAATGAAAGCCCTCCGTATGGATTCTATTATTCCACCTAAAAGTTGGATTTTTACCTTATATCCAGTGTATACTAAATATCCTTCATATCTTGGCCCTAATGGCCTAGAATTTGGTGAATTAATTAATTAATTAATTTTTTATATATAATTTAATTAACTTATTTTGAATTGCTAATCTTGTTTTTTTCATTGGGGTCAAATCAATAGCGTATGACAGAGTACAAGTTTAAACCCATAACCTTCTTTCCAAAGCGGAGATCGGTATCATTAGACCTAAATTTCTGAGTGCGAATTCTTTTATATATCTTGCATACCTTGTGCTAGGGCCCATCATTTGGACTTTTGCAGTTTTCAGTGATATGATGCATTTCATTCCATTCTTCTGTTTTCTCCGTAGCTCATGATGACTAGATAATATTTATTATATCTTTTTCTATTCCCAGTATAAAAGCTAGTTGAGATTTATTTTGTTACTAATTATAATATTTCAATATATTTTATATCCTAAATTTATAATTTATTTTTAGACTATCATATATTTGAATAATAATTATGTTGATAAAGTAATTTCAATACAAATTATTAATTAAAAAAAAGGTATAACCAACATTCATTTTTTATATATAGCTAGCTTAACTAATTTTTTTAGTATTTATTAATTATTTGTTTTCTATATTTAGGAACACAAGGAGTAAAATCCAAATGATGAGATATCCTTTTATTCAGTCTTGAGTATGAAGTGGGGCTTACTTTAGACTTATTAAGAATATTAGTTGAAAGGTACTTAAAAAGGTGATTTCACACAAGTTAAAATAAAATTTCAACTCACATACTTACTTTGTATATCCTAAATTTACTTTTAAAACTATAGTTTGGTTTTTAACCAAACACTCTTGAGTTTAGTTTTCTAAAATTACCCTTCATCTTAGTTATTACACAATTGAAAAACAGTGTCTTAAATAAGGCTAGAATTGAATTAGGAATCTTAAATGACCTAAACAAAAGCTACCTTTTGATTATATATGAGACCGATAAAAATCCCTCAATATTTACTTATATAAATATAAATATATACATGTGTGTGGGTGTATATATGAGACTAGCTAGAAGCAGTACTATGTATTTATAATTTATGGCTAAAATATGACTTTTTTATAGATTTTATTTTATAAATTAATAATCGAGTGTCGGCAAGAAAAAAGGCATCGAAACAAATTCAAAAAGATTGAATGAGCATATACAGATTAATCAATGCCCAGCAATTAAAGATGATCAATATAATGAAGAAAAGGTCATCTCAAATTAATTTACTTTCATTTATTATTGATAATTCACCTGCAGCACACAGATACATGAAGCAACACACCCAGTAAGAAAAGCCTGTCCCCAAACTCACTCAAAAGTTATTCGCAGAAACCATAAAAAAGGAAACACAACACATAATTATACATAACAAAGCAGATAGGTAACGGTGATGCTTCAGCAGTCTGTGTGCTTATATATATATATATTTAATGTTTAGCCAAAGAGATGGTGGTGCTTCTTGCCATGAGCCTCCTCGTCGGCTTCCTTGGCTTCCTTCTTCTCGTGATGCTCATGGAAGGCAAGGCCACCGGATCCGACAGCGGCGGCGGCGGCAATCTCCTCTTCTATCTTGTGCTTGTGTGCATGCTCTGGGTCTTTCTCCGCCTTGTGCTTCTCATGCTACATATCATTTCAAACATTCATTCATCAATGTTAACATGAATATATTTACATATAAAATATTAACTTTATAATAAATTATAGTAGTAATATACAGAGACTAATTAAAGAAAGAAGAATACTTGGGTAATTATTCTTATAAGACTAAGCATATAAATTTTTTCCAATAATAAAACTCATCTCTCAAAATAAACCGCATCGAACCTACCTAATTTTCAAAAAGCACAACAACAAAAAACTTTATCCTATCAAGTGGAATCAGCTATATGGATCATACAATACTATTAAACCATATCAACAAAACAAATCTCCAAATAAATTGTTAATAAAAAAAAAGTAATGCTTAACAACTTTACTGATCTGCCTTTACTTTTAGGCTGTCCAATGTATACATGTTCAAACCATCCTAAACGATTTTTTACCTTTCTCTCCTCAATTTAATCAAATAATTAAAAAAATTTTTAAAAAAATTGATTTGAATTAGAAACACACATGATCAACAATATCCTAATAAAAAAAGATCATCAAAAGGCTGGGAGAATTAAAGAAAACAAAAATCAAGAAATTAAAATGAACTAGCGTATATACCAGAGCATAAACACCAGTAGCTGCAGCACCAAGCTCACCAAGATGCTCAAGATGCTTATGATGCTTCTCTTCCTTCTTGTAATCCTCCTCAAGAGACTGACCTCCATAGCCACTTTCAGGATTCTCACCATATCCGCCCGAAGGATTTTGGCCGCCATAGCCGGCATCTACAGGCTTCTCTTCGCCGTCCTTGTGGTGGTGGAACAGGTGGTGGTGGTGCTTCTCTTCGGCCATGCTGCTTCTTTGGTTATAGGTACAAACTCAGATATCACAAATTAAATATCAGAATAAAAAGAAGATGAAGATGAGTATGAAGAAGAAGAAGAAGAAATTTGTGTGTGTTTGTGGAGGATTGGAGGATGTGTATTTATAATTGGTGATGTGTGTGATTGGTCACAGGTGAATGGATGGAGATTATTAGATCTCGGTGGGTCCTCCTCCACACAATCAGTTTAATCTGTATTTATTTTTTGATTATGACTTTGCATCGAAATGGAGGACTCATTTCCTTTATTTTAGCCACTTGGATGTTTCTTAATGTTTGCTCTAGACCGGTTAGTACACGTGTGATTAATTGGAATGTATTATTTTTACTTTTCCCCCCAAAAAATAGGTGTTACTTTTACTTCTTCAACAATTAAAAGAATCTAATATTTCATTAAAATCTATATATTTATGTATAATATAAAAATTTTAAGGAGTGACACTATCCACAAATAGTACTCCTCCGGTCCTTAATATAAGACCCATTTAGCTAATTTGATTAGATTAAAGAAGTTAGGTAAGTTAATTAATTATAAGAAATATGACACATTTTTCCTAAAATACCATAATCATATTTCTTAATACCTCATTTTTCTCTTCTACTTAATTATGGTTGAAAGGGTATCCATAGGGGTAATTTAGAGATAATTAATAAATATGAGAAATGGGTCTTATATTTAGGACCAAAACCAACTCACCAATTGGGTCCTATATTAAAGACCGGAGAAGTAAATAGTTTTAGAGATGCACGAGATCGAAGTACTAGGAATAGAAAGAAGACAAAAGCAAGGCATAAATTTAAGTTTAATTTGTTTTAATATTTTTCCATGTAAAAATGAAGGTTTCAAAAGTCTAGTTGTATGAAACCTTCCTACGTCATTGTGAGTTTGGATCCCTTTATAATTTAAAGTTTGAGAAAATTAATTTTTTGGTTCTTCAAATTTTAACTCAATTATAACTCAATTTTTCAATTATAACTTGTTTCTAGGCTTTTAACTCAATTAAAACTCATTTCCTATTTTTTTCTCATTTAATTAATCAGTCCTTTCCATACGTGAATCATCTTATATGGAAAAAGGTGTTGCCCACGTGCCATCCAAATGAGCTCCAAATGAGCCCCTAATCACCCACCCCAGTCCCTCCCTGTCCGTGCGCCGGAGGAAATCAATGGTGTATAATAACACGTGTTGGCAAATATTTACCACTTCGTATTTTTAATACAAAATTTAGTTTGTAGTTTGAATTTGAATTACAAACTAGATTTTAGATTAAAAACAAAAGGTAATAATATAACCTTCAGGTTTAACACTTACTAGTGAATATTTAATTAGAAAAATGACAGTAATATATCTTTAAGAATGCTAAATAACAAGGTGAACCTCAAAATCCCGTTACTATTTTTAAATTTTTAAATATTGTGAATGTTAATGTCCTTCATTATTTTCTCTCTTTATTTTAAGAATGCCACTTCAACATCCCTAGTTGGAGGTTGGTCGATAGTGCTCTAGCGCCGGCAACCCCTCTAGCAACTAGCCACTGAATCTCTCACAGTTGGACACCCAAGCTCCAATGACTATTTTTGTTTACTTCTTAACTATTGTTAATTAGCTATTAATTACTTTTGTTTCTAGAGCTCTGATGATTATTTGTGTTTAGCTACTAGCTATTCTAATTTCATGATTGATTATTTTTATTTTTAAAAATCTCATGATTACTTTTGTTTAACTATTGATTATTCTAGTTTTGCTATTAGTTACTTTTGTTTCAAAAATTCAAAAAAATGTATTTGGTAGTAACTACTTGTGTTTAGTTATTTATTATTCTAGTTTGGCTGTTTACTATTTTTTATTTCAAAAATTTGAAAAATGTGTTAAGAACTCGTTAACTACTTTTGAGAAACAAGAGGAATAAATAGCGAAACTAGTATAGTAAATAAACAAAATTTTTCAATACAAAAATCAAAGTGATCAATAGTTACACAAGAATAGTTACTAGAACTGTGAAAAAAAAAGTAATTAATAGTTAAACTAAAATAGTCAATAGCTAAACAAAAGTTTTCATGGGAAGTAAAGGAGCAATGATATCATTTCACAATATTTAAAAATTCTAAAATAGTACAATGAGTCTTTTATTTGGGATTTTAAAATTCACTTATCCTAATTTGTCATTTAAAATTTTTGAAAATATTTTTTGTCATTTTCTCTATTTAGTTTTTTTCATTAATATATTTATGTCCTTTTAGTATGAAATTAGTCTTACTCAAATATTCTAGCTGTCATTTCACAAAACATTTTTTGCAGACACGATCAAAAATTGATAATTTTTTGTTGATCTAAAGCCTACAGGACTATTATGAGAAAATCCCTGAACATGTAAAATCTTGATTTAGGCACCTCACACTTGAAAATAATAGAGAAGGAAGTGAAGCCTAAACAGGTATTTTTTTTTATGAAATTACCTATATGCATTTTTTTGTAAACTTGTTATTTCTAATTCAATACTTGTCATTATCAATTTACAACTTATTAATTAACTAACTAAAATAATAGAGAACAAAAAAAAGTTATGAAACAAATAATTTTCAGTTCAATACTTGTTATTACCATTTTAACATATGCTATTTTCAGTTTATAACTTGTTAATTAACTAATTAAAGTAATAGGGAACAAAAAAAAAAGTTGTGAAACTTATCGTTTACAATTCAATACTTCTTATTACAAGTTAAACACTTGTCATTAATTTTCAGTTCTATTAATGTCATTTATGTCAAAAAAGGGCATAGGATAATTTCATAATATTTTTAAAATGCCAATCAGTTCATGCCTCACTTTCTTTCCTATCATTTTGAAGTGTTAGCTATTAATTAGGTGCCTAAATTAGGATTTCATATAGTCAAGGTTGTTTATAAGGGGGACTATTAATGTTTATTAATGCTTTTTTAAGTTTTTAATATTTGATTGCATTTCCTTAAATTAAGCATGCATTATCGACAGATCATTATAGGATTTATTAATTAAAATATGGTCAATATTTTTTAACATAATATTATAAGTGTATGGTTTCATTGATTGTGAAGTATTACTATAATTTTTTCTCTAAAAATCATTTACGTGCTTTAAGTAAAATATAACATTTTCTGATTTTTCTGAAAACAAAGCTTTACAAAAAAAAAATGAAAAAAAATCTTCTATCCACCCCTTCATCAGCTAATTAATTACTCGAACTTGTCGATATAACTTTTGGTTAATTGAATAAATTTAGACAACTTGAATTTGAAGTTCTATATTCAACAAAAATTTAACAAGAAAAAGATAATACGACTGACTTTATTTTTTTTATTTTTTATCGCTAACATTTATTTTCGAGTTGAATTAATCTCTCCCTCTATCTCTATCTCTATCTCACTACAGAAAGGATTTCATGCTAGAATTTTACTTTAAATATTTCAAAATTAATCAAAAATCCGATGTAACATTAATCTACAAAAACACAATACATCAAACAAGGGAACTAAACCGATCTATATAGTTCGGGGTGATAAAACCCATATTCTTTTGAAAAAAAAAAAACTCTTCCACTCCTAAATATAAAACTTATTTTGTAGTATAAATTACATTATAAAATGAATTTTATATTTAGAATCAGAGACGATACTTCTTTTGAATTGGAATACGCAACAAGCGTAAGGTAATATGTATGCGTAAGATCTTAAACATAAAATTACTTTAATAACATAATACTATCTCAGGCAAACCGGGAAAAAAAACATAATACTATCTCAAGTGCTAAATATAGGAGTTAATTAAAAATTTAATTTGGTATTAATAAATATAAGACTCTAATCTACTTTGTCTCCCATATTTATTTATTTTTTTCAAAGCAGTTCTTATGGTTATTACAGATGTTAGATTTTTATTCTAATGATATGATTAATAAGGGTATTTTAGAAAAAAACAACTTACATTTATTATAAATAACTAATTTAACTAATTTTTTAATATTTGCAAATTAGTTATCTAACTCTTATATTAAGGACAAGAGGTAGTATGTAAAATTTATTAATAATAACTTAATTGCTTTCAGAAATAAATTCCACCTTGATCTGTTGCAATACAATTCATGATAAAGGAACAATATCAAATAAAAAATAATGAAGAGATAAATGGTGGAATAGTCAAAATGAGCCCCCCTTTCTGATATTTTCCCATCTTGGGTTGAATATATGTGTTAATGAGGCGGTAAAGTAGGTGGTAAATTTTTATGCCCACTTTATAATTTTATAGTTATTAATAATAACATAATTCCTTTCAGAAATAAATATCATCTCATGTAATACAAGTCATAATCAAGGAACAAAATTAAATAAAAAATAATGAAGAGATAAATGGTGGAATAATCAAAATTAGCCCACCTTTATGATATTTTCCCACCGTCGTGATTGTGTTGATTAGGGGTCCATTTGGATCAGCGATTGGAAAAGCAGCTTATAGAAAAAGTAGCTTATGGAAAAGTGAAGTTGGTAAAAGTTAAATTGGATAAGCTGAATTGTGTTTGGATTGGAGTTCAGACAAGCTAGTTTACAAAAATGAGATTGGAAAAAGCTTGTTTGGATTATAGTTGAGTAAAAGTAATTTTGGCTGAAAAATTGCCAAAATGGGTATGAGTTTTAATAAATAATAAAACATGATTAAAAAAATAATTTCACATAATACAATGAAATTAAAATAATTTAATATGAAGAAATCATAAAAAATATTTTAAATATAAAGTGAAACATAAAAAAATAAAAGTATATTTTTAGGAGCATATTTAAAAATAAAAATATATTTCTAACCTATTCATTACTTTCAACTAATTTTAATTGATTTTTTATTATCTACAAATTAGTTATTCGAGGCTTATAATAAGAATCAAAAGAAGTAATAAATTTCTTAACTTTTTCTCTCTTCATATTTCAAAA